CTATATCCCCAGCCCTTTTTTTATTTTTATAGTAATAAATTTTTATATTTAAAATATAGTAAAGCCAGGTGTGGTGGCACATGCCTATAATCCCAGCACTTAGGAGGTTGAGGCAGGAGGATTGTTTCAAGTTTGAGACCAGCCTGGGCTACAAAGTGAGCTCAAGGCAAGCCTGAACTGCATTACAAGATCCTATCTCAAAAAGACCGAACAAACAAACAAACAAACAAAAAAACCCACACAAAATATAGCAAAATTTTTAGAGTAAATTCATAACCAACTCTTAAAACGGGCATCTAAAAATACTGAATTTTATCTCTTCCTTACGGTAGTCAATTAAATCACAGAGAAAAGTTCGCTTTATCATGATTATTAAAGTGCAATATTAGAGGCTGGGGATTTAGCTCAGCGACAAAGTGCCTGCCTGGCAAGCGCAAGGTCGTGAGTTCGGTTCCCGGTACCGGAGAAAAACAAAAAACAAACAAACAAAAAAAAAGTGCAATATTAAAGTTGTACAAAATGAGAAAATAGTAACAATTAAAATGCTTTAATATAATGAAGAGTTTCATTTTGCAAACAAGTGTCTAGCCTTAAGTATATACATTTTATATAGCTGTCATAATAACATATTTATCATTTTATATTGTGGAGTATTTTTGCTTAACATTGGTTTTTTAGATATGTCTAAATAGCTTTCATAAATATCATTTTAATGGCTGTATTATGTTTCATTTTTTAGGTAGGCCATCATCTTCTAAGTCAACTTATTTACACAAGAGAAGGGTTTTGTATTTGTTTTTATGTATAAAGGAGGGTTGCTATTGTAAATGATACTTCACCATCTATTTTCCTAGCAGGTAGTTTTGTCAGAAATATTTTTAAAATCACATTTGAAACTGCTACAAATGGAGTCAAACCAGAATTTATTTCAGAACAGAGTCATCTAACCTAAAATGTAGCACTTAGAAAACCACTTCAGCTCCATTATATTTTCAGCACTCAGAAAGCCCCAATAGAGCGTATAAACTTAAGAAGAAGGAAGCTTGGGTACATTTTGTGTTCAGACGAGACTGATTCTTGACAAAGAAATTTGGCATTACCCAAGAAGGATAAGAAGGGGCTGGGGATTTAGCTCAGCGGCAAAAGCGCTTGCCTGGCAAGTGCAAGGTCGTGAGTTCGGTTCCCGGTACCGGAGAAAAACCAAAAAAAAAAAAAAAAGAAGGATAAGAACCTGGATTTAAAGTAGACTCCTGAGGGCTCCAAAATACCATTAATCAGGCTCATTTATCTCCAAGTTGTATGCATAGATTAATATATTATGTACAGTTGGGTGTGGGGGTGTATACCTGTAGCCCTTGTACTGCGATGGCTGAGACAAGAGAATTGCATGTTGAAGACTACTGTCATCAACTTAGCAACTTAGCAAGACCATCTCTCCAAACAAAAAAAAAGCATAGAGATGTAGCTCAGTGAGAAGGCCCTGGTACCACCAAAAGAAAAAATATATATATGTAAATGATAACATAAAAATGCAGGGCTCTTTGGGGTATCAGAATTACCAGAATGCAAAAAGGGAGTAACTGCTCTTGGGAAAGTGTATCTGAGCCCTCAGGGGGTGTGGTTTGAGTAAGCCTACTAAATTTTAAATACAATTTTAAAATGAAAACATTAAACATAATTTTAAATTTGGAAATTCTGTTGAGTTTTCAAAGAATTTGTTTGCCCCCCTTCCCCTCATACTCCTCTGCTAGCAATGAGATCTTATATGGTATAAGTGGTGCTCTGAGGAAAAAAGGAAAAGCTGCCCAACTCCACACTCATGGAGCAAAAAAGACAGAGGCAAGTGCCTCAATCGCAGCTCCACACACATTAGTTTATTTACACTCAGCAACTAACTTTAACCTTCTGAGATTTAAGTCTCATTTGTAAAACTGGGATAGCAATGATACATACCTATACTATAGGCTCACTGCAAAGACTAAATGAAATAAAGCCTGTAAAGTACCTAGCATATTACCCACACAAACTAAATTACCCAACAAAAGTTAGACATCTCTTCAGGCACTTATCTTCTATAGGACTAAGATTTTCAAATGCAGTCTTTTGGTAAAGGATAAGAATTTTTTACTTTTTAGATTATTACTAAATGGTTTTTACTAAATCTTTTACTAATTTAGATTATTACTAAATTGTTATTTATTTTTTACTTATTTTTAAGGATTAACAAATACAAGTAGAGAAATTACTGATTTGCTGGTGGACCCTAAACTGTCCAAAAATCTAAACATTTTCTTAACTCTTATTGCTATTTGCTATTAGTTTTTTTGTTGTTGTTTTTTGGGTTTTTGTTTTTTTTTTTTTTCTTGTACCGGGAATCGAACTCATGATCTCATGCTTGCCAGGCAGGCGCTGTGCCTCTGAGCTAAATCCCCAGCCCTGCTATTAGTTTTTAATCTCACTGAATGCATAATAAAATTAGCCTACATTCTGGAATAGCACAGAAAATTATCTTGGAATTCTTTTTGTCCAATTTCCAACCATTAAAAGTTTCAAGACATGAAGGTCATTTTTACTAGAGTATTACTCACTTCCACTGGCTTTGTGTCATTCCAAGTCATTGCACAGAATTATTTGTTATAATGACATGTATATACTTCCTCTATCCAGCTCAAGGACAAATTAATACACAAATTAAGGGGAAATGGAACAGTCAAGATTAAAGGAAAAAAACCTTTCCCAGTGTCTTCTTTTACACTTGATCTTGCATCAGTGAACATCATAATTAAAAGTTCCTAATGGCTTGCCTTTTTATCATATTTCAAGTTATGCAAATTTTTTTAAAAAATCCAACATGCTCAAACAATTCTTTCCATAAAGGTGACTTTTTGAAGGGTAAGATGGGTCTGCTTTACTTTTTTATAGCAGAAGTATGGTGATAAAGTCTACATAATTTTGTGGTTTTTGTTTTGAGTTATTCTATAATATAAAACCCTTGCCAGCCATGAGCCTTTTATCTCACACATGGGAATCACCTGAGAGAATAAAACACACAAATTACTATGAAAAGTACCCAAGGCAAAAATAAAACTAATGGTATTTGGAAACTTGATTTAGAATAAGGTAACAGAAATGTCTATTTGGGCATAAAGTAAATGCATAATAATACACATCCAAAAGCATATTTTATAAGTACCAGTATCATTAAAGATATATAGATAGGTGTAGATATATAGGTACATAGATATATTTTAAATGGAGGAGCAACACTTCTACCTTCTTTTGCCATGACTTTTGAAAAGAAATTTATATTTTAAAGGTTACAATGAAGATCTAATATAAAATTATTTTGTTTTAATTCAGTTTTAAGTGCTGCTGGAAATAACAAAAGTTGAAAATCAAAATTCAATAAATCATGACTCAGATGCATTAAGAAAATTACTGAACAACTTAAATGCCTTAGTTCAGTTTTTCCATTCACATACTGAAGTCATTTGCATATCTCCTTCTGCTTCCCACTACGTGAAGATGAATATGATGCCATGCTGGACCCTGAGGAATTTACCATTTAGATTTATTCCTATTATACTTAGCATGTGCTATTATATTTTGGTTACGTATTTGTCTTCCCATAATAAAACATGCCATACTTGAAAGTAAATCCAAGTGTAAGAGGGGAGTACAGACAAATAAGTGACTGGCAGAGAGACACAATTATCTTTTTGCCTTGTAGATTCTAGATTAAACTGAGGAAATGAAAGGATTTAAATTTGACTCAAATTCACACTGTAATCTTAAATTTTGATGTAATTCTTTAATTCACAAGAACATTATAAAGCATCTGACAGTTAAGTGCAACTACTAGGGACTTCTACTTGTTCTCAGGGAGATTTCCCTTGTTCTCACCGGAGTTCATTCAGCCGCCGGTATTCCTGCCACCACACTCGCTTGTGTTGTTTCATTAGTGTTTGTTCTTTAGATATTTTTGAAGTGCTCACCGCTTTTCTGATCTAGATTTAGAGGAAGAACAGAAGGATAGCAACATCAAGGTTTTTAAAGTGTCTTTTCCACAACAGAACTGTCTAATTGGTATGTTCTAAATTACATGCTTTGTTAGTCCTTATTAGTGACATTCTAGCATGCCATGCACCTAAAATGCTGTATTAAAAACCAGAAAAAGAAAATAGTTTTGAATACTGACCAATTTAAGAGCATTTTTAAGGTATGAAAAGAAAGATAAGATCATCCTATTTTTCATATATAAAGGAAGTAATACCTAATGCATGTATCAAAAGCTTTTCTTATAGTTTTGCATGTACCTGTCCCTGTTTTGGATGCTTTTCCCTGTCAGGAATTGTGTATGTCATAATTCCCATTTTACAGCTGTGCAGACTGAGGGAAAGAGAAGTTCAAAGATGTGATCAAGATCATTCTTTACAGTCCAAATCACACAGAACCTGAGTGTTTGTACTGGTTTTTACCTCATTCCTCAGCATAAAATGGGAAAGATTTATGGGCTAAACTGTCAGGAGGTAGGGTTTCAGGTCCAGTTTCAGCACTAACTAGAAATATAGCTTCAAGCCTTCAATTTTAGTCTTTCAAGCCCATGACCTAATAATTTTTTAATTTAGGCAAATATTTATTAGAAGGTACTTAAATACGTTACAAAAAATATGACACGGAAACTTAATTTTCAATTAAATGTAATTTTCCTCAAGTTTATGATTTTTTTAAATGTAGCACACAATTAGTGCTTTTAGGTTTCTGTTACCCGGTGCTGTTAGGCCTGGGCCTTTTGCTTTAGATACGTTCCTGCCATCTCACTACTCTGCTCCAAATCACAAAGCAGCCTGTATTTCTCAGGCACCCCTGAAAGCCCAATTCAGCCAAAGGAAGACACTGGCTAGAGATGATTGAGGGGAGGCGAAAAGGAGAAACCAAAGCATGACCCCATCCCTGCCTTTCTACTCTCAGAGGTTCTCAGGAGGAACTGCACTTTCTCCAATGCTTCAGCTTTTATCTGGGCAGTTCTACCATGGCCCCAAGTATCTCTGATAACCTCAGCTCAAGAGATATGGTATAAGCCTTGTCTATTGGTATCCTTGTCTATTGGTCCTAGAGATAACAGTCAATTCCCAGTGGCTGTCCATCTCTATATTGACTAATGGTCCTCTGCTTTTCAGCTCTGGCACCTCCATTACCACTTGCTAAAGGCTCAAGTAATGTCCATTTCCTGGTTAAGCTCTCACACATTCATGTGTGTTCTGAATACATATATTTCACGAAGTCACCTTTAAGCATGTACAAAATTACAAATCAGAAGTAATGAAATGCACAAATTTCGTATTTTCTCTGCTACAGGAACACATAGTACTCTGATAGCTTTAAAAGATAAATAATGTAGTTATAAAAATTTCAGGAGACAAGTTCCAAAAAGGAATCTTCATAGTGCATGCTATTTCTGGATGTTATTCACTGATTACTTTAACCTTGGGTTTATCTTTCTGCTATTGTGGTTTCTGATTCAAATTAAAGAATATGAGAAAACATATTAACCTAAGGACTATTTAAAAGATAAAGTCAAAGTCAAATTTTTTTCACAGAAGTTCTTTAAGGTGACACAATTATGAAATTTGAGAAAAAAAGAAATTTCTGCAGAAAGGCAGTCATCATTATTTTACTGGCTGAAAGAAGAAAAGTATACAGGATCTCTAGGATCTGACACTGTAATACTTGCTTCGAAAATGTCTGAAATTTATTTCAACTATTTACCACCTACAGTCTGTAAAGCTTGCTGCAACAGACACAACTTTTAAAATTAGATTTCTTTTCTTCATTTGGTCTACATTGTACCAAGAAAATTATAATGTATTGGAGGAAGACATGGACACATTTTTATGGCTTAAAAAAAAAATCAATGTTACTGCCTTTGGGCCCAGGGAAAGGGCAATTAAATTGACTAGAAAAATCAAAATAATGCCACTATTTTTCCCTAGACATTTCCAATATTTTGTACAACATCCTGATTTTTTGTAAATTCACTCATTCATTCTACTTCTATCCTCAGGCCAAAAATGAAGAAAATAAAGTCTTAAAAAGAACAAAAAGATTTAAAGTTACACCTTTATCAACAGGGATATCTAGGTATTCCAATTCATCTTGCTGGGCAATAAAGCATATGCAACCAATATTTAAGGTAGGTAATGATTTACAGATGACACTGATTACTTAAAACTCTTTTAAAAAGGGAAAAATAATGAATTCATAAATGAACCAGAAACTGAAAGTATTCTATGTGGTTTATTATAATGGTCAAAGGTAATGAAATCCTAAATAAGAATATTGGAATATTACAAAAACCCTTAGGACCAGGGATTATTTTTAGAAATAAACATCATTAACCAATAGATAATTTACATGTTGGTTTCATGGGTCTATATGTTTGTCAAAATTCATTGGAATGTATATGTATATTTATGCATTTTAGTTATTGAGTTATACGTTAATGAAGAAATGTCAACATAAATACAAAGAAAAACTATATGAAGATGCAATTTCTCATCTATCAGGTTGATGAAAACTCAGATACACAAAACATATTGTGAGCTTATGGGAAATATGCTCTTTCTATATTTCTAGTGGAAATACAAAATGATACAACCCTTATAGAATGGAATCTGAGTATATGTAATTAGATCGCACATGGATTTATTTTGTGACTCAGCAACTCCATTTTTGGAACGTGTCTAAAAACTACATTGGCAAAAGTATAAAAAGAAACAAAATTATTCATTTCAGCACTATTTTATAAGAGAAAAAGATTAGAAAACAAAAATCCCATTTTTTTGCCAAAGTAAATTGAACCTGAATCTGAACAATTTTCCAGCTATAATTAATCAATTATCTGGAAATACAAGAGAGAAAAATTAGTTAAATGATTCCACCATGATGAAATCAGCATATGTCAAACTCTACAGCAGAACTCCATAGGAGAGATCCAATGTGGCTGGCTAGAGAGGGGTCACATTTGAGGTGCATAGAGAAGTTTCACTGGAAAATACAGGTACTCTGAACCAGGGCAGACAATCACACCGCACCTTGAAACAAAAAAAATTAATCGGAAAGATGATACATGCAGATTAAACCTAATAACTGGATCTTGAAAAGGGAAAGCAGAGTTGCCATAGCTTGTCCACATCGCCCGCCAATGCCAACCCCTTCTAGAAAGCAGCCCAAATAGCCCAAGAAAAGGAACTAGCAAGGCAGAGGCCAGACTCTCTCAGAGAAGACTGCATTACATCTACTCCTCCCCATCATGTCCCCAGATACTGGGGAGCACTGCATCCCAGCAGCAACCTCTGCAGCACTTGGTGGGGGAGACGAGAGAGGCTACACAAGATGAATAGGCCAAGTCCACTTGAAAGAATCCACCATGGATCACATCACTGGAGACACAGAGGAAGGACTAGGACTGAAGAATTGGTCCAGGGTGAGTTCTTCCCTATAGTTTCCACAAACACTGGCAAAATCCTGAGTTAACCGGAAATTCTGAACAGTGGCTACTATGGTATATGGATCCCTGCACCAAGTTCAGGGACTGTGTCAAATTCGGCTAGTTGGAAAGGGAAACTCTTGAGACAGGGTCAGTTTGAGATTTAAGTGCAAAGGAGAAGACAGAAAGACTGGGGCAGGCAACTTCTGGTGACAAACTAGTCAGAAAATCTCTGAAACAAGAACCCTGAGGTTTCTCTAGCACAAAGGGAAGCAGGAATCATAGGGCATGGGCAGAAGATAAAGAAGAGCTTGGTGTCAGGAAAACTATTTCACATCCCTGTTGTGATCTGGGGTTTTTCCTAGGGGAACACTATAATGCAGGACACATATTTTATAAGAGTATTTTTAATAGTCACCCAAAGAGTCATATAGAAAGAAAGTGCGGGAAATCTCTCCACACACTAAAGCCCAAAGAATCCAGCTGAGGGCCTGGATCCCACAGTAGTGTCTTGCATAAGTCCAGCTGAAGACCTAGAGCCCATAACAATGCCTCACAGGAGTTCAACTGGCGGTCTAGAGCCCAAAACAGTGTCTCAGGCAGGCCTGTTTCATGGATCTGCACTGGGAAGACTCAAAGATCAGTGGTGGAAGATAGAAAGTCTGTGTCAGCAGGATGAAAGATCTGTGTTAACAGGCTGAAGGATCTGCACTGGAGCCAGGAAGCGATACTCAGTGTAAGAACCAGAACTCCCAAGAAAAGCATCACAGCCATCCTCAGCAACATTGAGGTCCCGAGCTCCTCTGATAATGAGGAAAGCCGAGTTCCCATCAGGAAAGCCAACACAACAAGCTTCTCCAGGAGACTGTGCAGCATGCCATCTTCTGCTCCAGAGCCAAGATGCAATGCCCAAAGTGAGGACCAGAGCTCCCCCAAAGTGAACAGAAGCCATTCGCAGCAACAACAAGGTCCCAAGCTCTTCAGACAATGAGGATAGTTGACTTCGTTAGGAAAGCCATCATGACAAGCTTCTACAAGAGAATCAACAGCTCCTTACAGCTTCTAACGGCACCCAATATTTTCTCAGCTCCCAACAACTTCTCTTCTTCCTCAGTTCTGCCTCTTATGCTGCTGGAAACACTCTTCATGTGGGCCTCCCACACCCAGCACCACAATGGTTCAGTTCAGCTGGGTGTTGTTACAAACTGACCACCAGTTGTCAATCCACCACAATCCTCCTCTCTCAAATTCATTGAGTTAGTTGGATCGTGGGACACAGAGGAAAAAACTACAGTTAACTACACACAAACACACCATGTATTAAGGAGACGGGATCAAATGAATTGTCACCCCTCACTACTTCTAGGCAAGTTGATAAGGAACCTATAGAGATGGGAGATTAGTGTGGCTGCCTGAAGACCATGACTAAACCAAGATGGAAACTGTGTGAAGACAGTTACTCTTTACTCCAACTATAAAGGGCTTCCAATGGAGTCTGACACACTATCTGTTTTTACC